TTTCTTTCTCTGTCTATTCTTTTCTCCTTTTATTTAGGATATCGCTGCTCGTTTTTCACGCTTTTCTCTGTCTCCTTACGATCATAGAGAATTTAATTCTATGTTAGAGCAGATGAACCGAGTTTCCCTTGAGGAAAAGAAGAAGAAAGCCCCGAATGCAGTTCGTAAGCGACTACAGCTTCGACTTCGAAACAAGGCCTTCAAATATATGGTGGACCTTGAAAAACTTAAAGAACAGGGCAGAATTCTTTACGCAATTAATAACCATCATGCTCAAAATATGTGTGAGCTGATTGATATCCATTTATGGACTGTCAATCGGACAGTCAAGCGATATTATCAAATTGTAAAATCTTAAATTGATTTTTTATTTCAAAATATTCAATAAAATACCATTTCATTTAAAATGCAAATGTTTAAAATTTATTCGTGGAAATTAATATATAAGTTATCTTTCATGTTTTGAGATACATTATAATATGCAATCTTAAATTCATTTTTTATTTCAAAATATTCATTAAAATTTCATTTCATTTAAATATCAAATTGTACAAAATTTATTCGTGGAAATTAATATATAAGTTATATTTTATCTTCTAAGATACAATGTGATTGCTGCAAGCAACATTACAGAAACTTGGGGGAACTATTAAATCATAATTGTCAATGTTCATCGGAAAATTGCAAAATGTTTGATATTTTTAATGAAAGAGAAAATGACCAACAAAATGACCAACAAAATGACAACAAAATTTCAAACAAAATGACCAACAAAATGACCAACAAAATGCACAGCAACCTGCGTGTTTTAAGTGCCCTTGCTGTGCTATATCTACTGAACTTTTACCGGAATATTTGAACCATCAGTGCTCATGTGCAGATAATTGTAAAAAATGGACATTTTCTTCGATGAACCACCAGCTAAAAAGGATTGCTTGAGGTGTCCATGCTGTGGCAAAGAAAGTGAACCTCTTTCAGAATATTTATTCAATCTCTGTAGCTGCAAAGAAAATTGTCGAAGGATGGAAATCTTTTTCGATGAAGAGCCAGTGATACAAGATGCACTATCAACAAGTGCAACTCCAAAAGAGATAAAAAGAAAAGTGAAATGCTCAAAGTGCAAAAGATATTATTCATGTGAACAAAGATTGCGATCTCATCAAAGACACAACCTTCACATGTTCGACTATTTTTGTTCAATATACATTACTATTTAATCACAAACTTTGCTAGACTTTTAAATTCACGGAGCAATTACCGCCGATACCACTGTGAACGGTGTTTGCAAGGCTGGCGACATGAATTTCAATTGATCAAACACTCAGTTGATTGTTCATCTAAAAATCCACAAAAAATCATGATGCCTTACCCAACACCTTCAAAACCAAGGCGAAATTTTTGCGAAAGGTCAAGCTTCAAAAAAGAAGTTAAACATCCAATTATTATTTATTGTGACTTTGAATGTTAATTGTGCCAACCAATGACCTATTTAAATCTTCCATTCATAAACCATGCAGTTATGGATACATCATTGTTGATTGGAATAGGAAAATCATTGATAAAAAGTTTGAACATGGAGCAAGTATAATCGAAAAATTCTTAATCAATCTAAAACAATTAATTGAATTCGCGATATTATTAAAGATATTATTTATCTCTCGCATTAAAACCTCTAAAAATGACACCAAATGACGAATTAATATTTCAAACAACCAAAAATTGTTGGATTTGTGAAAAGCCTCTTGAAGATGATAGAGTCCGTGATCATGGCCATTTGACAGGACTATTCAGAGGTGCAGCACATAATGCTTGCAATGTAAATTATTCAATTCCAAATCGTATTCCGATATTTTTTCACAATTTAAAGAATTATGATGGCCATTTATTAATCCATTCAATCAAAAGCAACACATTTATTCAAGATTTGAAAATAATTCCTTCATCGATGGAAAAATATATTGGATGGTATGTTGATAATCTTGCTTTCCTTGACTCATTTGCATTTTTACCTGGAAGTCTTGATACACTGAGTTCCAACTTGACAAACGATGAAAAAGAAGAATTTTTACGTCAAGAATGGCCTGATCAAGATTTAAGTGATTTGATGGGAAAAGCATCAATACCTTATGAATATTTCTTGATACATATCATTTATCATCCCTTGATAAATTCAATGATAAACAACTACCTCCAATGTCTGCATTTTACTCGTCATTATACGACAAAAATATCTCACAAGAAATGTATGATCGAACGAAAAGAATTTGGCATCAATTCAATTGTGAAAACCTCGGAGAATTGATTGATATTTACTTGCGACTCGATGTTTTAATGCTTGCTGCTGTTTTTGAAAACTTTCGAGAAACCAGCATAAATGATTTTGGAATTGATCCGCTACATTACATGACTTGTCCCGGCCTTGCTTATGCTGCTTCATTAAAAATGACAAAAATATCAATTGAATTATTCTTGGAAATTGATATGTTATTATTAATCGAAGGC